GGTCTTAATCAAAAGGTCTTAATCAAAATTTTGGGACAAAAATATTTTGACATTTTGCACATTTTAAAGTAGTTTTTTTTACAATTTCTTGGTTAATTTTGGGCCAAATGGACATAAGTTCAATTCAACTACATATGTTGATCAAAATTTCGGGAAAAAATATGAAATATTTACGCAGGTTTATTTGTGTAAGATGACAAAAGTTGACCTTGGCGCTTAAAAGGTTAAAGGCAAGGACTATGTAAAGATAGTATTTTAAAAGTACAATAGCAGTTGAATGGGAATGTGGTCTTCATGAATGAAACCCTGTCACATGGCAATTGGTTGGATAAATACAAAATGTAGTCACAGCTCTTCTGCACACAGAATGCTTGAGGCCAAGGAACATTGTTTGGGTGTATAAGCTTCATTAATTAACCTTTTCACCACCAGTGTTTTCCCTTCTTCACAAATTCAATTTCCTTAAGAAGATTCAGACAAAATTAGCCAAATTTGTGACAAAAAATTGAAAATTGACTGAAATTTTATCTCTTGGCTCCAAAATTAGGGTTCATTTCCAGAAATATTGAAGAATATTAAAAAAAAGTGTAGACAAATTTGAACGAGAAAGTCAGTGGTAAAAGGATTAATGCAGCACAATTGTGTAGAATCTATGAATATTGTTTGCTACGATTACAAAGTCTTACTAAAAATAGAATTGACGTAATCCTAGAACGTGGTTCAGCGAATGAAACAGATCAGAAGTAGATGCTGTGTGCAGAGGGTAATCTGTCTGCATTAATTCACCTCGGTTGTGTGGTGACTTGTTGTGAATCATGAGAAAGTGTGAAAGCCTTACCAAAGTCATTGCTAAATTATTTCAACGGTGCAACAGTTACCTGTATGTCTGTTGTTGTTTTATTTGTTTTCCTTATTCAAACTTAAATATTTTGGTGACAAATCATTTTCAAACTCATCGCCTTTACTTTGGAATCATTTTACATACTGTAGAATACTTTATTTTTGCTTGGATTTAATTTTCGCTATTTTCACTGACAGAATGATTCAGTGAAAATAAAATCCACGGAATGTACTTTTTTTCCTATATTTAACATTCAACTTGTCAAAAATCATTGAAAATAAATTTCATACAAAACACCCAAAATGTCTTTTCAGCGAAAATTACTTCCACATAAAATAAAGCATTTTACAGTATGCAAATGTATGTATACCAAACAAAATTTGCACTGCTCCCAATGTAGATACATGTATCTTCGAATCCAGATGTAAAACTCATTTTTTGTCAACAAGCTTTAAGTAAACTGTGAGAGTTATGGAGCATCAGTGATAGATCAGGTGCGATACACTTTAACTAATTATAATTTATTATTATTATTATCAAACATCCTCATGAATAATTAATCACATTACGTAATGCTTAATAATGTGATTTAAAACAAACATTATTTTTATGTAAACAATACATTTTTTTATGTAAACAATACATTTTTCTGAATTTTATGTTTTCCTCCCCATAATTTTTACTCCAATCAAAGTGGGGGAAATTCATATACAAAAAAATATTATATTTTGTTTGATACTCAACTCCAAAGCTGGCTTTCTCTTTTCATAAAAATTTACAATTTTTAAAGTGACTATCAATCAATAATTTCAACTTTATTCTTTGTAGCATTTAGCTATGTTATTAATACAATGTATGAGATGAATACTCTGCATTTATGTTGCTGGTGGTTTTGAAAGCAAGCTAAGGTTGCTTTAGACCCCCTAAGCTAGCATAAATTTTATCTTATGCGTGGACTCCACTGTATTGTATTAAGCTTGTATAAAATACGACTGTGTCTGAATACATCATTTTCACTTTCACTCGCAGTCAACGACTGTTACCCGGGTACATTCACTGCTGTAGAAAATAAACTAGCCTAAGAAACAGATTACTGGAGAAAGGAGACCTTTTACAAAATAGGACATAGTCAGTATAACTGCTTCAGTGAGCATTTCTTGTCTTTTGTTGAGCTGAAAGACCGCTTAGGTGATTGCGACTTTAATCGTATTGTCAGTTTCCGACTGCACTCCACTTCACTTCAAAGTTGCATTGATTGTGTCGCCTTTCTATGTTGCATAATTGTGTAAAGTCTGACTTTTAGAGTTGTCCTGGGTTTGAGTTTTACAGAAAACTGACATCTTTGTTCGGTTAACTGACTTTCTGGGATTGCATTTATGCGTGTACATTTACATGTAGTGTGTACATATTTGATGTGTTTCATCACAGATTGAATAACAGCATGATCAAAAATCAGGTTTTCTTGGAGATAAACGAAAATTTGGAATTATCATAATCTTCATCTTTTGTTAAAGTGGAGGGGTGCACGTATGGGAATTGAGTCCTAAGCGACGATAACACACACGCAAATATTGCTAAGGTCCATGAGTAGACACCTATTTGCATACAACGACGCGCTATGGTCGCCTGTCGCATGGGCAGGTGCCGCCTCCCCCACTTTAATATTGAAATACATATAAATGTCTATTAGCCACAAAAATCTCCTTTATAATTTTCATTTTCATTTTTGATATATTTAATAATCTGGCAAATATAAGACCATCTACCTATACAAAAATATATTCCTAGAATTCCAAACTTATTGAATGCACATAATGTTCGTGATATGCTGCGATTCTATACGTAAATGTGTGTGCCAAAGGTTTTTTAATAAAAATGTACTCTATATTAAATTTGGATTACTTATTTCGTGTCTAGAATCAAATGCATGTGCAGACACCATCTTGGTAAGGTTACTGCATACTTAGATGTGTGAGAAGCAAAATTACTATTCATCTATGACCTTTAATGGTGCTCTGATCAATGAAAGCCATAATCTGTCCATTCAACACTAATTGTGGGGCTGTTAAATTTGACAATTGGAATCTACCATGCCAGACTTATTCCATGGTTAATAGGTTTAATGGTCTAAAAAGTTTGTGGTTGATAAGTCCTGCCGAGCTCCTGAGTGAGAGATTTGGGGCGTGATGGACAGGTTTGCATTTTAGGACACATTTCAACACAACACCCATACTGTGATTACAGTCTGCGTTGAGTACAATTACCGGGTTATTTGTTGAATCGCTGTCTTTCTACCCATGAGCAAACGTTTGAGTGAAAAAAAAAAATGTTTGCCCATTTAAACGCCCTAAAAATCATTAAAATGTAAAATTTTATATAGTACATATTTCCTACTACTACTACTAATTCATGCCTTAAAGTATTTCCCCCAATACCATAATATGGCTAAGGAATGATTCCATTGTACTAAAATTGAAAACTTTCTTGCAGCGAGATTAATGTTTATTGGAAAGGTACCATAATCTGACTGAGTTCACGAAGAGTGCCAGTGAAGTTAGTGTTGTCGTAATCCCTGTCAATCAGTCATCACATGTTCATTATCTTATAATTTTCTTGTGCAGACCAACTACCATATTGTCTCTATTAGTAGCACATGCATAAATGAAAGGAGTGTGTCTGTGGTAATA